TCTGCGAATAACATCGTCAAGAGCACCCTCGCGCAAGTCAACAGCACTGGAACAAGTCTCACAAACATTGCAAGCAACGTGCCAAGTGGTCAGCTCACAGTCGTCACTGCATACACCCCTGTTGCAGGAGCTTCTGTCCTGCACCTGATGCTGTGATCGTTCGCAGGCTTGAATGGCATGGTCAAACATGTCTGTGCATGGTGGACCAAACTTACATACAGCCCCGCGCAAGAACCCGGAATTTGGAGGCTCATCGACTGCTTTGTCGTCGCTCACAGTGAGAGGCAACAAGTCACCGCATGTCCTGCTTCTAGGCGTAGACTTTTCACTATGAATGCACGCGGTGCTGCACAACAAAATCTCCGAGAGCAATCCAAGATCAACAAGACCGAAATCACAATCATGCAACCAGATTGTGCTGAAAGGAAAGCTGCTGCAGACTACTTGCTTTAAGAAAGTGGAACGCCACTCTCTGTGCTGATGTTTGGCTGCCAAAATGGCACGACACCATGAGCTCGAACAGAGCCGATCGCAAGCTGACAGAGCACCGTGCTCCAAGTCAGCAATGTGGAAGTACATGGGGCCTTGATTACCCATAATCATCACCCGACTGTTTCCAACACCGGCCATGGTGGGCATGACCTCGTTTGCTGCATCCAGAATTCGATTCATCTTCCCAATATCACTGTAGCATTTGGAAGCAGAGCCCCCACCAGAAGGTGCCATGGCCCCTCTACCGGCGAGCAATTTTAGCTCGGTTGCCCACCAACCTACCCCAGCCCGGATCGCGTGGAGATATTGCTCGGGCCCAGGCTAATGAGAGGACGGGCGGCTAACTGAAAGTGTCTGGCACCACTTCTTTGCCAACAACACCGGTGCACAGAAGACCACCCGCCGAACATCCCGATCACCCCGCCCCCGGCAGGCCCCAACATACCAACTTCACCAACAAGCCAGGCAGAAACAAACAGCCAACAACATCGCTATTGAACCAATAATTCCCTCCCGACACTTGAACCTGACAAACTTTGAAAAACAAGGATACCATACAGTAATTCCACAGCACCCTCGCCGCCCGAAACCTAGGTCCTTTTTCATCCTTTTGCCGTTTGTTTAATCTATTGGACCCTGAAACCCGAAGCTCCTAAGCGGTACAGTAAAAAGCCCGAAATACTCAAACGCCGTAAACCAAATAAACCCTAAACCACAAGTTTTCAAAGGCGTGTTTAGCCAGTCTTATCACGAATGCACATGAGGTCTAACCTTTTTATGGAGCTGTCTTATCTGGATGAACGGAGAAGGACCTCAACATATGGCCAAGCTGGACAATACAAGCCGTCCGCACCGCACTAAATATCAACTCTGACAGCAACACAAAGCACATAAGCAACAAATCTCAAGGCCAGGATATCCCACAACCCAATTTGTAGTCTGCAAACCCTTTTTGAACGAGGTCTCTCTGAAGTGCCTCCAAATCCCTAAACCCAACTAATAATCCCTTCGCTTTGTGGTTCTGAAAGCGTCTCGTGGTGGAAGGCATTTGGAAGGCGTGGGCTTGTTCACCATGATGGGTGAAAGTAAAACTCTTCAGCTATGCTGCCCTGGAAACGTAGCAACCTGTGTCGAAGAGGAATATTCCGACACCCTTACCTACACTAGCCTAACGCACTAAGCCCCCTGCCCCAACCATTTGTTTGAAGAAGGGATGACAACAAATCTGCAGGGGTTCACGGGTGGCACTGGCCTTTAAAGCGGTTTACAAGGGACTGGAAGAGAGTTTAAAGCGGATTGAAGACTGTGTTGAACGGAAGCCAAAACCTCAACCTTGAACCAAAATCTCTTTCCAACCTGGGATCATCGACGCTAAGCCCTGAAGCTGTCAAGCTGCAGCCCCCAATCTTGGGCCTGCGCAACTTGATTTTCGAATCATCGTCATCCGCCTCAACACAACAGGGCTTAGTCAGTTTAGTCCCAAGCCTCAAGAAATCACCCAACCAAAATCAACCAAATAACTTATGAACAAATGAACTATCTTCAAGAACAGAAAGCCAGTGAAGCGACAGAGGGTTCGATGCGTATGCCTGCGTGCCGGGTTGGCACAGCCTTAAACACCCGGCCCTTGCAGATTACTTGCGAATGTTGGCTAATGGATTTCCCGACTGAGTAAGGCCCTTGGATGATCATGGTCACCGTGTTGCTGAAGGGTGGGCATGGCAACTGATACATTACCAGGCAAGGAGCTCTCGATCAAGCCTTTGTCCTCGAACTGAAAACGCGGATCTGCATGCTCCTGCAAACACACTGGTTCTTCTGGTGAACGAGTTAAACCTGATGCACAAATGCCAGGGAAAAGTTGCAAGCTTTGTGGGGTCAGGTGGCAAGGCAGCCTCGATCCGAGACAAGTTGCAGAGGCGCGACAGAAGCCACTCCTACGGCCCCACGCCTGTAAAATTGGACGGAATCGACGCGGCAAAGCTCACCTTCGCTCCGCTCTTAACCAGCGACGGCACCGGCCGGACAAGTTCGGGAACCTGCTGGGGCATGGCCCGGCGGCATGCATGCCAACTATCTGCCATATTTTGGCCCCTATTCTTCGCCTTCTATGGAAGCGTCGCACAATGTCCAAACATGGTTTTTGCAGATTCTACCGGGGCTCTCCTGGGTCTCATCTTGTCGTCGCTGTGCGGAGCGTCGGGCCTAGCTCGCGTATTGCATGCCACTAAAGTGATGTCGACATTCTGGCTGCCATGTGGAACAGTCGAACACTCTGAGCCAACAGGCAGCATCACATGATCAAAGCACATGCAGTCATGTGAATTCCCATGCGTTACCAAACGGGCCCCAATCTCCTGTAAGATCTCATGATGTTTTACGGCATTTCCGACAGCATCGTGATTTTTGTCTGCTGCAGTTCGCTTCAGTCATAAAACATAGCAGGAAACATCCTCGGTGTGTCCATGCCTAGCGAAGAAGAACCAACAGCCATCAAACGGGACACCGTTTCGACCGAGGCTTTATCACCAAACTTCTGGCAAATACACTTGCTTCTTACTCGTGACACAAACAGGTCCTTCATCGAATGCCAGCGCTCCTGAAGCCTTTGTTGCATGTCAGCTTGGCACGATTGACGGCGGAGCGTCGGCGGTGCCCGGAAAGCTGACATTTTCACGGTCCATCAGCACGGCCGCGATTTGTTCGGCCAAAGCTACGTCGTCGGCATGAAATGAGGTCCACGAAGAGGTCGTATCTGCTGTGCTGCATTCTGAGGCAGCCTCGCAGTTGGCCAAGTTGTCTTTGCGCAGCATATTTGACGAGACCAGGTATTGTCTCAGCAGGCCCTCAATGGAGTTCTGTGGATTGGAGGAGCTCGGAAACTTCCAGGATTCGCTCGGAGTACAGCACTTCTCCCGATTGCCAACAAATACTTCCCACACGGACGCAGGAGATGTGTGACTTGATGGGCATGCCGGGGATGGCTGCTGTCCACTTGTCAGGGCCAACTGATGTAAGCGCTGCAGCACTGGTGGGGACTGTGTCTGCACGAAGCTTTGCGATGCCTTTGCAGCCGGCACTCGTGAATGTGCACTTCCGCACTGTCGAAAATTTATTTCTGCGGCAGCTGGGTACTGCACCTGTGAAAATGGACGAAGGCCCAAAGGATGGCAAGGCGCACCCAAAGGTGGCCACGGCGCCCAAGGTCCAGGCATCCACTGCAGATACATCGACTCTGGTAGAGCTAAGCCTCCATCGTGCAAGAAGCCATGAGGGCCTCCAGCGCCGGCTTGCCTGGCAAGCCCGTTCCGAGCTGTCTCGGTTCTGAGGGGTTTCGGCCGGTTGCCTGACTTGCGCCCCTTTGTGACCGCTCCCGACTTGAGCTTCGACTTGCTCTCCTGACCCTGTGTCCCTGATCTCTCTGCCTGCGCTGTCTGCTCTGCCTCAGGCTTCGTTTGGCTTCCCACGCTTGCCCGGCTTCCGGTGACAGGTGGCTCCTCCGACATGGCGTCTTTGAAAGTCCTGCGCACCCGCAGCACTCCTGCTGTTTGTGCGCACCTTTGCTTACTCTCATGGCATGAGATACCTTGGGCCTTGATCACTTGCTCATGTAGTACAAGTAACAAATCTTGGCAGGGCTAAATTTGCCATGGTCATGTGCATCGAATGTGATATTGTGGGCCTACTTCGTGCACTCGTCGTGGCGTGGAATCTTTGCAGCTAGCATCTGCCTGTGAGACATGAATCAGCATGCCGTTGTCGTAACGACCCCATGTCCAAATGCAAGCATTATGCAAACTCATCTTTGCATGCAGCCAAAATACGCCTTACGCGACCTTGTTGACCAGTTTGGTGTTCATCCTGGACGTTTGATGCTCCGATGCTTTGGGGGTTTGCCGGCTTTCGAATTTGCATTATGGAATGGTCGGGTTTCGGAGCTAGTGGCGGCAGCTTTTCTGTCAAAATTATTGTGGTGCTTTTCCCGGCAACAGCAGCTCATGCAACTCTTGCGAAGTCCGAACCAACATGCGAAAACTGATGCCCTGATGCGAGACCGTATCATACTTCGGTTCGAGGCCAGCACACCGGACGACAAAAATCAACCGCTCGCGGCAATGTTGAGGAACCGAGCCACAAGGTACACCAATTCAGCTCGAGATAGTCCGAGCATACGCGGTGTCATGCCGCAGGACCTCACAGGAGCATCCTTATAGTCGAAGCCGGGCGGCTTCATCGCGTCTACGGAGATGGCTTTTGCCAGGGCCGTCTGTCACAAGGAAGGGGGCTCGCAATCGCTTGTGCTGGCCGATATCGCGACCGCCTGTAGACCGCCCCATGAGCAGATAAGACAAGAAGCAAACGCCAAAAGATGCCAAAAGGACTGAGAAACACATGTAGTGCCCATCGCAGGCCCTTCCACAGAATGTTTCAGTGACACATTGCTCTTTTGCTTTTCGATCTGTCATTGGCGAGGCGATGTGTCTGGATGTGAGATGTGCAATCTCACCTCAGGTCCTCCCGCTCAAGGCATCGTGCCTCTGATCTGACGGGACCTGGACCTGCGACACTTCTGTGGCAGCACATGCGCCGCCTACTGCTGCCCTCGGCAGGAGCCTCAGGTTGAAAGGGTGAGAGGCACGTGACAGCTCTTGTGACGGTGGTGCACGGTGAGGCCACAACCCAGCTTGAACTCTGTCACCTTTGCTGGCCTTTCATCCATGAAGGGGCAAAAAGAAGTCACCATGAATCCATGAGGCGGTCCTGCGGGCAATCCGCGGGTGGCAATGCTCCAGCAGTCGTCTGTGGCTTGGGCTTGTAGGCCTCACAAGAGCCCTGTGTGTGCTCAGATCGCTCGGGCCACGGTCGCGAAGAGGCCACCGGTCCGACGGAAGGCGGCTGCCTCGCACTGTCATCGAGGTGATCAACAAAGAGACACGACTTTCTGCTGCGTGAGAGGGCACAAAAAGAACTCTGGATTCGCGGGTTCCCAGCTTGATTGCGTTGAGACTGCGCCAGTCTGCCTCAGCGTGCAATTAATTGGAGGCGTGCTTAGATCGCTGGCCATGTCGGCACAGCATCTAGCAGTAGTCTGTGAAGCACCTTAGTAACGAGAGGAGACCACTGAGCGCCCTACGAAAGAATCGGTCTGACAGTGCGCAGGCCTCGGGTACAAAAGATTACCAACACGAACTTGGAAGGAACGGTTCTTGTCTGAATAGTTTGATTTGAATTGAATCAGAATTGGTGCCTTGCTTTTCTCGCCAAACTGCACAGCTACTCTGTATGACTCAAGGGCCCTATGGCAGCAGATATATACAACAGTTCACACATGCATCTCATGACTGCGG